TAAAAGATTTACAATGTGCTGAATCCCACACTAACTCTATATTCCATTTCTTCACCATTCTCCTAGTGTGATGAACCAGGGCGATCCTCTGTAATCTGTATTAAAAGTATTTCATCAGTAACTCAAGCACAAAGAGAGTTTCCTGAATTTCAAGAGTTACAAGCACCAGAAAAGGGCATTGGTAAAGCTATTAAAAAAAAAAAAAAAATGAGGACTTCCCAGGTGGCGCTAGTGGTAGCAAAGCTGTCTGCAAGTGCAGGAGACATACGAGATGCGGCTTCTATTCCTGGGTCAGGAAGATCCTCCAGAGGAGGCCATGGCAAATGACTCCAGTATTCTTGCCTGGAGAATCCCATAGACAGAGGAGCCCGGTGAGCTACAGTCCATGGAGTCGCAAAGAGTCAGACACGACTGAAGCGACTTAGCATGTAGCAGCAGCACCGCCGGTCCAGCAGCTGAGAATCCGATTGTCAGTGCAGGGACACAGGTTCGATCCCTGGTCCAGGAAGGTTCCACACGTCACAGGGAAACTGGGTCTGTGAGCCACAAGTACTAAGCCCAGGCACCACAGTGGCTGAAGCTGGCACGCCCTAGAGCTCGTGCTCTGCCCAAGGAGGGAAGCCAGCACAAAGAGAAGCCAGCACACTGCAGCTAGAGGAGCCCCCTCTCCACGGCTAGACACAGCCCACAGGCACCCCTCTCCACGACTAGACACAGCCCACAGGCACCCCCTCCACGACTAGACACAGCCCACAGGCACCCCTCTCCACGACTAGACACAGCCCACAGGCACCCCTCTCCACGGCTAGACACAGCCCACAGGCAGCAGTGAAGACTCAGCGCAGCCAAGGGGAGGGAAAGAAGCCGAAGGCCTTCCTAATCACCATTGGCTTTAACACGCAAGTTTTATTGATTTGAAGGAAGTTTCTGAATTAAGTTGATCAAAACTCTTCCTAGACCAATAGAAACATTATGCACACAGTTAGCTACCATCTTCTTTATGACAATGTTTGTGTCTGGATCATGCTTTACTAGAACATAAAATACAGTCAACTAATAATGTAGAAATGATGCCTATCAACTCACAGCTCAGTAGAAATGTGGCTTTCCTGTCTACTGGCTTGGATGATCCGCAGTGTTAAATATTCTTGAGGATGATATAAATGTAAAGGTATTTGTTTTAAAAAATGAGCACGTGCTGATGACACCAAAGTCCTCCACTGCCACTGCTGTGTTTGTTCAGAATTCTGGCTTTTGTGTGACTTCTGCTGTGTTACATATAAAGGGCGCCAAAGCGACTGTTGAGATATGTCATGTATTTATGTTTCCACCTCTGCGCTGAGAGCTGTAACGCCAGCACATATGGCAGCCTGACCGTATGACGCATGCCTGGAAAGGCTGAAACACCCGCTTAGCAGAATTAGACTTTTCACACTCCACGCAAACAAAGAGAAACAATGGCGTTGCCCTTCTTCAATTTCTGGAAAAGAAATCAGACGTTTTCTGGACTTACTCCTCTGCGAAATGGGGGAGGGTCGGAGTTGACAGGAGGACTTGGCCTATCACAGGACCTGGCGTTAAGGGGAGACGCGGCAGGAAGGGCGGGGGCCAAAGCAAGAAAGCGTGAACCAGGGTGACGCTGCAGAGAGAAGGGAAAAGCGCAAAACTGAGGCTGGCAGCCGGCGGCCCGACACGTGCCTCACCATAGCTTAATACCGGCTTCCCTGCGGCTCATCTGGTAAAGAATCCGCCTGCAATGCGGGAGACCTTGGCTCGATCCCTGGATTGGGAAGATCCCCTGGAGAAAGGAAAGGCTACCCACTCCCGTATTCTGGCCTGGAGAATTCCTCAGACTGTATAATCCATGGGGTCGCAAGGAGTCAGACACGACTGAGCAGCTTCCACTTGCTTACTTGGATTTTTAATGGGTGATCTCCCCAAGCCGTCTCCCTCCCCAGCAGCCCCTTGCCTGTCTCACTTTACTCTTTCCTACCTGCATCGCGCCTGAAGAACCAAATCATCTATTTATTTACCTTCTTGTCTTTCTCCATGGTACTACAAGAATCATGTGGCTTCTCCTAGAATCACAGCTGAAGCCCATAAAGGTTTTCTCAGTGAAGGAATGGTCAGAAACCTTTGCCCTCCTAATTTGTTTCATTAGGGAGCCTATGATCATTTATTTTCTTGAGCTTCTTAACTGTGCTCCATAGATACGCGAGTACAATGCCGTAATAAGGGAAGTTCACGTTCACAGCTTTTGGTGGACAAACCAAGAGAGGAGTGAGCAGAGAATTTCTCAACGAAATGTATTTCCTGGGTAAAGGGAAACAATGACCTGTGAGAATTCCTTCTACTGCCAGAGCACTTTAATGCTCTGAATTCTTGGACTAGCACACTTCAGAGAGCAAAAGAGAGGGTAAGGTCCGATGTACACGGTTCAGGACCCCTGCCCTCCCTAGTCTATCAGGAGCCCTGAGGGGGCCGCGTCGGAGGAGCTGCTGGGCAGCTCACAGTCCTCGTGTGACAGCCTGTGCCTACAAGGTCAAGGTGTTGAGCCCACACCTCCTGCTGACTGTGGCTACGGTTCCTACTGTCTTACACAGTACATCCGCTGAGCCTGGTGGACCAAGTTGTGCCTAAACGGTTCCAGGATGTTCATACCATTATTTCCTCCTCAGAGCTTTTTGGGCTCCCTTCCAAAACGAATGTCTACAACAGCAGATAAAACCCAATTTACCTGTCAAGTCGCTGATTTTCTCCTAAGATAACTTAACTTCTCTGAAGAGGAATCTTTGAAGAGACAGCAGGCTGTCACTGGAAACAAGAACCTGAAAGCAGACATCATGTGTCTTTTTTTAAATTCATTTTCCTGAGATTGGATCTCAAAGTAGCACTCTGCAAAGTGATGTCAACTCAGTGTCAGCCTCTGGCAAAACCATGTAATAGGCCCAGTTCATCGGGATCCCCTTCTCTTCCCCCTCACTCCTTTGTCCCATTTCTGCTCTCAACTGACTTTCAACTTTTTTTCCTGTTAAATCAATAGTAACTCAAGCAATGACCTTTCCTAGGCAAAAATCAGCATTTTCATTCTTAAAAGGGACACTTGAAGCATAAAGGAAGAAAAAAGGAAGGAAGGGAGAAAAGAAAGGAAGGAGAGAGGGAGGGAAGGAGGGATGAAGGAGAGAAGAAAGGATAGTGTTACATGCTAAAACAATTAGTATCTGATATTCATTTGGCTAATAAGCTGAGACAAAAATACCTGAATGTTTGCTGCAAGTTCTGAGGCCTGGCCTTGACTCAATGAAAACTGAAGCCAGTATCTGGTGATGGCTCTCCTCCCTCATTTTGCATCCCCACCTTCACAACTTGTTTCCTGGGTACCGCAACAGCCTCCAGACAGTTTTTGTCCCTTTGGTGTTACTCCCATCTAAACAATCTGACAAGAGAGTTCTTTACCTTTAAAATCAAGGAGAGATTTCCTTGTATACACTATAAAATATTCTGTTTTCCAAACCATCTCCTGCTTCTCCTCTCTACCCCCAACCCTCCTTCCACCATATCAGACTGCTAGCGGTTCCCTCAGGCACACCAGCAAATGCCTCTTTTAAGCACCTCCTTCACTGTGCTCTTTCCAACCTCTTTGTTTAAGCTGGCAACACTCTTTATTTACTGCTACTGTCTCTTCTGTCTCAGCAGCACATGAGCAAAAAGGTCAGAATGGATGCATTTATGATGGTCTCCACCTCCAGATAGCAGTCATCACGAAGATCTCTGCCCTCAGTCATTTTCTCTCTAGTACTCTGCACAGACTGTAGCATCCAGAAGGTGGAAAATAGGTAAGGTTTCCATTCTTCACTCTGCTTCTTATCCCTGATCCCCCTTGAGAAGTGTTGCTGAACCCTAGGCTGCCCGGTGCAGAGCTTTGCAGGAAGGGACCCTTGAAATTTACTGCCTATTCTTGCTCCATGTGTAGCCAAAGACCATTCGTATCATCTTTCAGTATCTTGGTTTCTTCATCCATTAATGGAGATAATAATCCATGGGAACAGAATCATGCATTAAAGCTTCTTTTATCCCAGACCAGTTCCCCTAAAACTATTCACTGATGCCCCTTCCCCAACAGTTTGCAGCAGCAACTTCCGAGGCTCACATCAATCATCCTTCCGGTCGCTCTTGCACATAAACAGTAGGGAGGTCTGCATGCTTCGTATCAAATGCAGAGGATTAGGGCTGGATAAATGAGTATGTACCTTGCTGCGGCAGGGGACACTCAGGCCCTGTTCATACTTTGCTTTGCTCCCCAATTTAAGTATGATTTTCAGAATATCCCACTTGATGATTCTGCATTTGGTCGGACTTCAGTGTTGACCACATTTGAATCCAGGGCAAACAGGAATTCTGAGATCCTCCACTTGACATTCAAGGCCCTCACTGAAAGCTGATTTCATTCTGCTTTACAAGTCTTCTTTCTTGCAATCCCTGCATGTACTGTAAACTCCCAAAATTGGGGCCATCTACAGTCACAGGCCACAGATGTTCCATGCAATTTCATCTTGGTCCTTTTGTGCTATGGAGTTACTTTCATGTGGATTTAAAAGGATGCTCTCAGGTTCAAACTCTTGTTCCATCACCTACTGAATGTGAGAGCTTGGGCAAGTACTTTTCTGTCCTAATATTCACCTAACTTCAAAAAGGCGACAAAGAGCATTTCTCAGGGGATGGTTGAGAGGAATGTGTGGGTGCATGTCTATATAGATGCAGGAGTATCCTTATGTTTGTATTTGTTCATGTGTAGATGGCTCATGCTTTGTGCCAGAATTATTCTAAAGCACATATGCACTCATGTATATAGCTTGAATATTGCTTAGACTATGTTTTTCATGAAATATGAAGTTGTGCAATAATGTGTAACCTTGTAATTGTTTAGTTGCTAAGTAATGTCCCACGCTTTGTGACCAAATGGAGTGCAGTGAACCAGGATCCTCTGTCCTTCACTGTCTCCCAGAGTTTGCTCAAATTCATGTCAGTGTATAACTTACACAGGTGTTAATTATTTGTATTGTTAGCTCTACATTTTCAGTTCAATCATAATTATTCTTCAAGCCGTGTCAAATGTTGACTTCTTTGTTAAACAGACCCTAGTTCTCCAGGCAAAGGAGGGAGGGAAACTAGCATCTCTTGGATGAAGATAATGAGCCAAGTATCTGTTCTCATCTCTGCCCTCCTCACGGCCTGTGTTGGTTCTGCGCATTTGGGAAACGAAGCATCTGAGACACACGGGTCCAGGAAGCTGCCCATGGTGAGCTGGGAATTGAGCCCAGGTCTGCCCACCAGTTCAAGCCTCCTTCCTCCCTGTTCCACAAGACCGCTTCTTCCTCTCCTCTGACCTGCCTTGTGCGTGATTTCTCACATCATCATGGCACTCAGTATGGGCTACTTTCTATTGCAGTATTATCTGTGTATATACATGATGGCCACCATGACAGGCTACACTTTTTCAGAGCAAGATTATACATGTACACATACATATATGAATCTATATATAAATATTTATATATGATATAAATAATAAATATATGAGTAAGTCATTGCTAATAGTCTATATATATTATGTATACTGCATATACTCCATTTTATTTGATATAATCCATTTTATTATATATTATCCATCTGAGAACTTATCCACTTGTCTAGCATTGCATATTAAAATGCAACTATTTTATATTAACATATAATATTTAGAATGCCAATATTCTATATTTATAGATATTTCAATGTGTAAATTTATATAAATATATGTTTATAGTTGATCTTATACATATTATATCATATATATTTTATGTAATATGTATTCCATTTTATGTTATATAATCCAATTTATATATTTGTACATATCTATCTGATAACCTCCACAGTGGCTTAGCATTACATATTAAACATGTAACTATTACATTTTTACATATATTATATAAATATTCAATACAGTTTTTCAGAACACAGTTTTATATAAATAAATTTATAAATATATATGCGATCTATCTGATAACATCCATACTTGTCTAGCATTACATACTAAATATATACTTAAACCTAAACCTTGACCTCATAGATCCCATGACCAACATTCCCTATTTACATCTTTATTCATTTCTTTGCTTTGTTAATGGACATGCTTGTTTCATCAATAAGAGTTCTTTTTTTGAATAAATTTAAATTTTGGAAGAGTCTTTAAGCCTGCATTTACCACAAGGTAAGATCCAAAATACTTTAATTCCTATTTTACTGATCAAAAATGAAAATATCAATAAAACACAGCCATGACATGAGGCCTTGACACTTTTGTGGACACAGAGCTGAGACTCTCGATTTGATTGTGCTTAGATTCCTTTGGCGTGCAGATAGAATGTGTGATACTCAGAGCACAGAATACAGTGAAAACAGTGAAACACAGCCAAATGGGCTGCAACCTTGTCTTCGTCACACTGGGGACTGGGTAAGTTTTTAACCTCCCTGTGCCTTTGCTTTTTCCTCCGTGAAATGGGAAAATCAGCTCTGCATATGTCAGAGGCCTGCTATAAGGATGAAAGAAGATGGTCCATGGAAAATACTGTGCAATTCCTTCATGCAGCAAACGCTCATCACAAGTTCACGATCCATCTTCTTTTTGTTAATATGTAGCTTGTCAGCATAGGGTCAGGACGGGCTCACACTCTCCATGGGAGTCTAAGTGGTAAGCAGTCAGAGGCTGCGTTTCTGAGGCTGATTCGGTAATATATCATTTCTGTTCCTCCTATTTCCATGCTCTTTCTTCTCTTTTTATTAATGGCTAGAGAAAGCACACAATAGCTATAACAATTAGGTGTTAGAAATGTATGAACTATGACTGACACCTCTTGTAGAGGGTTCTCTAATTTACTCTGAACACTTTAAAACCATGGTGGCGAGAAACCAAGACAAACTGCCAGTGTAAAGTGAATCGTGCTTTCTCATTCATAACAGGGAGAAACTGTACTTTCATTTTGTAGAAAATAAAGCACAGTGCTTCCATGGGTTTATGCTTCTGCCAAAGTAAGCTCCACAATCCCATTCAGATGAGATGAAGCCTGGGACCATGGCAAGTGGCCTGTGCCCAGAGCAGCCTGATCCTGGGGTGGGGAGACCACCTCATCCCAGTCTCTTTTAACAGGCCCCTAAAGAAATCTGGGAGAAGGAGGCACCCCTCGCTTTGGAGCACAGGAGGGCTGGTCACAGATACTCCAGAGGGCAGTTATGTGACTCTCTGAAATGGAGTTCTGATCCATGGGTGAAGGACAGAGATGCTGGGCTGGGTCTCCTGCTAGAAGGTGTGAAACCGTGTGTAACTCTAGAGTCTTTAATAAAAGGTTATCAGTTTGAAGCTTTCCCGTGTTGTAGTTTTCTTTGACTTATTCTCAAACTTTCTTCGTATCTCAAAACCCTACAGTTAAGTTTCACCTTAGATGAGTACAGGTAGAAAAACCATGACTTTTCTGTGAAAATCTGGAGGAGTAGATCCTGATACACCAACAGGCCATGAGTCCTAGTTGAGATAAAGAATAACAGCCAAGATAGATTTGAAGAACAGGTACACCTTCCTTAGCATCTCCCAAAACTTTAGAGGCCACAGAAATCCTGGATAATGGAGGCTTGGCTCATGTCACATGGAAATTAAAAGAAAGATGGCAGCTGAAGACCAGAGAGCTTGGGGACATGGCCTTACATGGTCTCTATATCCTAGTTCACAGCATGCAATGGTAAGCAGGTGTGGATTCAAATCTAACCAAAACTATGTTCGTTTAATTAAGTGTGCCCCTGCCTTTTGCCTAAATTAAATGATTAGGAGAAAAAATACAAAGAAAACAAAAGAATTAAAAGGAAATTAAAATAAAATAAGCACTGCATGTTCTTCATGCATTCATCTGTTAGAGGATGTCTGAGTTGTTTCCAAGTCCTGGCTATTGTAAAGAGTGCTGCAAAAAGAACCCTGCATGTGTCTTTTCGAATTATGGTTTTCTCAGGGTATATGCCCAGGAGTGGGATTGCTGGGTCACACAGTAGTTCTTTTTTAGCTTTTGTAAGGAACTTGCATACTGCTCTTCATCATGGCTGTGAACCAATTTACATTCCTACCCACAGTACAAGAGGGTTCCCTTTCCTCCACACCCTTGCCAGCATTTACTGTTAGTAGATTTCTCAGACGATAGCCATTCTGACCAGTGTGATGTAATATCTCATTGCAGTTTAATAGCTGGAGGGCAGCTGCTGTATAGAGCAAGGAGCTCAGCTCAGTATCCTCTGATAACCTGGAAGGGTAGGAAGGAGGGGCAGAGGGAGAGAGACTCACTTCATTGCAGCAAAAACTAACACAATACAGTAAAGCAACTACACCCCAATAAATAAAATAGCTAATATCTGGAGACTGGTTACAAAGCAAACTAAAAAGTCAAATAATTTAGGACTACTCTGAGGTCAGTCTATGTCAGTCTCAACTACCTATACATCCCAGAATATATTTAAGGAATTCTGAACAATGTTAAACGAAACATGTTTCTTCATAATTCCTCAAATAATTTGAGACTTAAATTGTCAAAACAAATGGACCCAAGCATGGTTTTGGTATTTGTTCTCCCTTCCTTCTTCTCCCCTTTCTCCTTTCCTTCCTCTGCTCACTTCTTTCCTTTCTTTCATTTTCTCTTTCGGCAAAGAAGAGCAAAAGACAAATCAGAAGTCAGGGTGATTCAAATATGATACTTAGGAAACCTATCTAAGCAAATTATTCAGAAGAGCAGCTGGGGATTCTGAAAGAGATAACAGGATTGGATGAACACATTTCAATATGGCTTTATTTTTTATGATATAATCTCAGTGTTAATTTCCAGTGTGGCTGTCAAAATGCATTAGAGCTCTTATCTCCATTAAAGAGATTTTGGTTCTGTGAACTTACTTAACTGAGCTATTTAGAGACTTCATTTAAGGAACCCATTCTGACAGACTTGTAAAAACAACTGGCTTAAAAGATTAGCCTTAAAAAATTTTTTTTTTCCTTTTAAAAGCAATCAAAGCCTTTTTTTCATCATGGGGTAATTGTTGAGTATATACCATTTTATCCTGTTTAGATTATTTGACCTTTCTCTTGTCAGCTTTTATAGTTCTTCATTCCTGCTAACGTTTCTTCATAGTAAGCAATCTTGGTGCATAGTAAATGCTAATTGGCCCTTTAAAAGGTTCCCATGATAAATATCTTAATGCCTCAATTTAAATTTTCTGGGCACAAAGCAGAGATGAAAGAAGTCACTTTGCTTTGTGTCCTTCATCCAGATTCATGTCCTCCCTCAGCGTTCTTCCTCTAAGAAAAGCTTGACTTGCTCCTTGCTGTTTTCACCTGCCTTTCCGGGTGCCTGGTCTCACCTTGCCTTTTTTTTTTCCCCATGAGAACAGGAAGTGCTCTGGATTAACAAATGGTCACTGATTCTGTTTGGATTTTCTATTAACACACAAGAGCTAAAAAATAAAAAAGACTCAGAAATTACCAAAATAAGCACTAAAGTGGACTGCCAAAATACCATCTGCCCAGTGCAAGTGGCAAATTACTGAAAAGCTGCTTTCTTTGGTTTTTATTGCCTAAGTTAGACCAGGTACAGGATGATCTAAGCAGGCCAACAAGTTGAACTCAATAAGATGACTTCATCAATTCCATTCACTTTAGTGATCAAATTGTATCTCCTTTCAGAATAAATTTTCCTATGTGTTCCCTTCTATTAACTTACCTACATTGTTAGTAGCTTAAATTGTAAACTGCCTTTAGTAGAAACTATCTTACTCCTTACACATTCTTCTTAACAAATATTATGCAGTAGGCTTTTTTCCATACACTAGAAATTTATTGTTTGGGTTAATTCCCTAAACCATCTCTATGAGATCGATTTTTCCATACCTCTTTTCTAATAGAAGAACCTAGACCCACAGAATTCAAATGACTTGGCCAAGGAACATCTCTGATAATTTGTAGGTTCAAGATTTAAATCCATGCTGGTCTGGCTTCAGAATGTAACATTTCTACTGGGCAACACAGAATTGTATAAGAACCCGCAGTTCTTTGAAGTGATGTCTAGCACAATATTTGTTTTCTCCCTGGCAGAAATACCTTCACAGAATTGTCGTAGTAGTCCTCTGCCTTTATGCTTTTCTGATCTTGTGCAGAAAATAATGTCAAGCTGCATTTTTGTCATATCATTAATGCATTTTATGTAAAATTAATATATTACTCATGATGATATTCAGTGCCCTTATATATCAGTTTGACTAAAGAATCCTTCTATGATTCCTTCTTTTAATCATAGGAAAAATAATTAATTTACAACAGAGCTGAATGTGTATTTTCTATTAGTAGAAGGGGAAGGCATGCAGACCAATATGTTGCCATAGTTGCCTTAGCGGCTAGAAAAACAAGTTTTCCCCAGGTGTTTTACTCTGCTCAGTTAGGGGCCTCAAACGATATTCTGCATCCGCATCATTCAGTGTGTTCACCCCTGGGTATGTCCTCCGAGGTCTTCTTTCTCATGAGCTAACTGGAGCCAGCACGTTTGGCCACGGAAGTGAAGGGAGACAGGTGACCCCCGTGGCTTTTTGGTAGAGAATCTTCTGACAAACTGTGAACTTCTATGCATCGTAGGAACAAATATAACCAAATGGAGGTAGTCAGAATTCACCCATCAGGCTTAGCTTAGCTACCAAGCTGTCAGGCAGACAGGTGAGAGGTAAAATCAGAGGATGCAGATCGAAGCTAAAATGAGAGATGGATAGACTGATCTGTCAGTAAATAGATAAATGCATGTGTGCTCAGTCATGCCCGATTCTCCTGATACACACACACATTCACAAATAGATAGATACATAGATAGTTACACATACATTCATACATACATATGTATTGGGTTGGCCAAAGAGTTCATTCGGTTTTCCCATATGATGTTACAGGAAAACCTGAATGAGATTTTGGCCAACCCAATACATACATGGTTGCATGGCATCACCAACTTCATGGACACGAGTTTGAGCAAGCTCCAAGAATTGGTGATGGACAGGGAGGCCTGGTGTGCTGCAGTCCATGGGGTTGCAGAGTTGGACATGACTGAGCAACTGAACTGACTGATAGATACACAGACAGATAGACAGATTGATACGTATAAGCATACATACATACATGGATAGATAGATGGACACATGCATATGTACATACATACACTCACATATAGATGGATAGATGGTTAGATACATACATACATACACACAGACATACAACCGTAGGTAAATAGGTGGATAGATGGATGGAGGGAGGGAGGGAAGGAAGAAGGGGAAGGGAGAGAGAGAGAAAGAGATAGGGGAAGAGAGAAGATAAAGGCAGACAAGGATTTAGAAGCTGACTTGGTCATCAAATGGATTATCCATAGCGAAGGAAAGAGACGAACCCACGGTAGTCAACAGAAAGACTGAAGAGCATGCACCCTCCTTTGCTATGTTTAACTATGTTTTTGAGGCACTTATATCTCTGGAGGAAAGCCTGGAGCTGACTTTTGCTTCTATAACCAACCAATGTTTTGCTGAGGTTGTCATTTTGATATTTTCTTGTAAACAAGGGTATGTGGATGCTTCTTTGTATCTGTCTGCTTATTTACTCTCTGGGAAACTTAGGAATGCCGTGTGTTTTTTTTTCCCCCCAAAGCAACTGATCCCAGAAGCTCCATTATGTGGATAATTAATTTTTTTGTTAATTATCTGTGTTCCTTTTGCTTATCAAAAGCAAAACTTGTCTTGGTATGAAAAACATGGAAGCAAAAATGTATTTTAGAAGGCAAGAGACATAACCTATGGGCTAATGAACCAAATCAGGAACTATGTGAAAAGGGTCACATGAGTTTAAAAGATGCTAGGAGTTATGTTCTTATTACTGGTAAGCAATCAACATTCTTTAAAAAAAAAAAAAAAACTTGCAGAATTTTATTTCTGAGTAGGATCTGGAAAGGACTGTGAAATATATTACTATTTCCAGCAGACAGTTGTTTCTCCCAAATGGTAACAACTTATTTTTTTTTTAAAGCAAAGCATTTTATTAGCTTTGCAAACTTTTTGCTTGCATTTCTCATCTATGCCTAACCAGTACAGCAGAAAAAATGACTTTATTCATTGGCTTGCTTTGTTTTTGCTCTGCTTCCTTTCATCTGGCCACACTAAGAGTGTTGAGTTTGCCTCTACTGCACTGAGAGTTTGAAAAAGGGGTCTGTATGGGCTCTTTTTCACCTTTTAGGTCCCGTCAGTATAGCTCAGCCTGTTTTGCTGTGAATGAATGTACCTT